GGTAATCATGTCTCTTTCTGGTCTGGGGCCATAGACTACTTTCATGTTTGTACATTTATTATTACCTCTTATCAGTCACTTTTCCGTTCCTATGCTGTGTCGAAGTGTGACGTGTTTGAGATATCGTTGAGGAACACTTGAGATGGATCGATCACAAGCAAACGCGCAGTCTTGGCGCTATCAGGTGAACGCGCGCAAGCAGTTGACACCCAACAACCGTTACCCACGAGGCCCGTCTGCGCACTTTCAATATCCGCGCTTCTCTCGCTCAATCGAGGCGCGCAAGCTGCGCAGTCACCTGAGACGGCGACAACATGGACGAGCTCACTGTCGCTTTCGGTGCGCTCAGTTTGAATGGCATCTTCCGGATCCTCGACTTGCCCGCTGTAAGTGATCTGCTTTGACGAATGATGCACTGATCGCGTGCTTACTGCGTTCTCGTTTCTTAGGAGCTGTTTAGCAGTGTCTGCAATCAGTTGGACGATGACTCACTGCGAAAGATCCGACTGGTCTCTTGCACTCTCAACGATCGCTCGACTTTCACTTTCGGGACACGATTCTTGGCGCATTTGGTGGCTCTACCTCGTTGGGATAGCCTCGCCGTCTTATTATACTATGCACGTCACGAGAAGCTCTCGCGATTTGTTCGGACGATATCGATGAGCGGCGAGATCGGTGGCTCTCCTTCGATGGTCCACGTTGGTATGCCTTTGTCAAAAGCTGAAGACATGCTCACGGAGGCGCTTCGAAAGTTTGTGAAACTGGAAACTATTCGGATAGACAGCCTATCGTACGTGCAAACCTGGCATTTAACTGGAGAAGTCATCGGGCTCCGTTGTGGCCCAGAGAGACTCACTCCGCAACAGCTCCGTTACGACTTTAGCGCACTCAGCCACTTGCTCCAGGTCATGATGGGATCTATCAACCGCGCGAATATTTGTGACAGGATACACCTTGATCTGGATCTTCGAGTCATGAGCTCTTCTCCCTACAGTGATACCGACAATTCACCAATTCAGGCTGAACTGTTCGACATCAGCTCCCCTTTCTGGACAGAGAGATTATCGCGCAGGGTCCGCAAATTTCGAGCTCGTCCTGGTGATACTAGTGGATGGGCTTCCCACCTTGCTGCCTCATGCTCGGAGCTCAAGGAACTGAACCTACTGCCTTGTGGAGGGCGTATTCAGTTTGGCAATCGACATGGCGACGTGCATGTTTGGCAGCACCTTCAAGTTCTTGCCATCAACGGAGTGGACCTTGAGAATACTGCTATAGCCGGCTTCTTCCAAGCGCATCAGAGTACTCTGACTCGGCTTCATCTCAGTTACATTGTTTTGGATAATGGTACCTGGACGGAGATCCTGCAGACCATACATGATCTGCCAATTCTTGAAGTTCTGAGTCTCTCTCGCCTAGGTCAAAACGTAGCCTACGCTACAACACCAGAAACAGACGGTGACGCGAGATCCTGCTTCAGATGTGATAAACGCTCAGACGTTTTGCTTGCTCTTCGAGCTCTGCTTCAGGGTACACAAACATACAAACATCAACTCTTCTATGAGGACTACTACAGGATTGACTTCACATCGGCAAACATCGCCCTGGCATCTAAGGCAGCGGAGTGATGAGCTTAAGTGTTGGAGTCAAGAAGGAGGGATACAACTAGCAGTTGGCTGCGACGGCCGCGAAAGTTCGGGAAATGTTTTGACACGCTGTGGTAGAGGCAGTTCCTAAGGATCACTGTATAGCACACTGCACATCATGAATAGGATAATGATTCATGTCGCACGCGCCTACCGGCAACTTCGTCGCTGCTGTTTATCTTCATCGTACCTTCCCTCACATCAGGTTCAGGCCTAGCGCGAAAGCGCACGATCCCGTTGTTGACAAAAGGGCAAGAGCGTCTCGCTCACGCGAACTCTCACCTCACATCGACGCAGACCCTTCAGTCTCACTTTCGACTACAGCAGAGATTGCACCGCAGTCATGGTGACTACTCGCGCTCAAGTCAAGGCGGCCCACGGGGAAGAGCCGCCGCAGCCATTTCGACTCCTCGACCTTCCCGCTGAGATTATCGGTGACGTTTCCAATCATCTAGCCGTGGAAGATCTCATCAACGTACGCCGTGTGTGTCGCGCACTAACAGCACATTCCGCGAACGCTTTCGGACAGCGCTTTTTCAATAACCTCGTCGTCATCCTTCATCCCACCAGCCTTGCCACACTTCTCGAAATCTGCCGCCATCCTGTGCTGTCAAGATATGTGCATGAGTTGACAGTAAGCGGCGAGCGTATCGGACACGGTATAGCTCTCATAAACGGTGAAGAGGTACACGAGAAGAGGCACATCGACTTACAGACAAGCGTCGAACGCTCACGCATGGATCTCATGATTCTCACCGAGGTCTTCCGGGAGTTCAACAACTTGAAAAGTATCCAAATTGACGTTGAATCCTTCCGCGGGCCTCGATACATTGCGGATGACGACATTCTGTTGAGATGTGGACGAAGTTCGATGTTCAGTCTAGAACATTCAGAAGGGAAGTCTTGGGACAAAGGCGATGACAATGGTTACAACAGAGTATACGGCATGACTCTACAAGCAATAGAACAGGCTGAGGTGGAAGAAAAGATCGAGTTGAACCTCGAGTTCTGGAACTCGTCCAGTACTGGAGTGACTTTCGAATACTTCGACAACAATTCCCGATACTGGCGTGAGCGCCTCTGCAAGAAACTACGCTACGTCTCTACCACGAACGACATGGATCCTGCCTGGATTGGACAACTGCTTAGCTTAAGCTTCGGTATCACCAAGCTTGAGTTGAGTCAAAACCACACCCTTCTACCGCTCGCTCGCGAACCGGCGGGAACTTTCTTCTTCCCCGGTCTACGTCATCTCAATTTCACTGAAGTGGTTATCTGCCACGAAGAGCTGGTCGCATTTCTGCACTTGCACGCATCGATACTGGAGGACGTTGTGATCCAATCTGTCGGTTTACAGCATGGCACGTGGCACCAGCCACTGCACGTTCTCGAGACCATGCCCAGCCTCAGGAAACTCTGGCTAAGTATGTTACTTGAGCAGGCGCCGTATCGGGATTCTTCAACAGACACTTTGGATCTGAACTTCGAGACTCCCGGGTTCTTGAGTGTCGACGTGCGAGAGGATATCGAGCTAGCTCTCAGTGCCATGCGCGCCCATCCTGGTACTGATCCCTCGAATGACGATATTGATGGTCCCAATGGAGAGTTGTATGAGTATGTGGTACACTACGGCAGAGGCTGGGCTGCCTTGGATGGGGATATCGACTTCAGGAACGGGCAATGGGAGCTGGTGGACGATTCGGAGGTTCGCCGGGTTATCGCCGAATTGATCCTGGGAAAGGCTGGATAGACTGGTGAAGTTCAGTGCGATGGAAAGTGGATCGTGGAAAAACACCAACGATGTTCAGTAATCTCAGCAATTACTTTTCATGCGCCCAATTTGATACATCAATTCTATCGCGGCCCCTTCTCTTCAACACGTCGCATCTCCATACCCCCGATTTCCACAGGTGGTTGTGCAATCTCCACAGGTTCATGTTTGTATGCCACCGCTCCTGGTCCCAACTCCTGAATGTGCTTCGCGTGTACCTCATACGGCGTCACGCTGGTAAGCTCCGTAGACCCTGACATCTCTCGTCGGCGCGACGAATGCCGCCTCCTCATGATGAAGAACACCGCCAATCCAATTATTACTCCCAGACCTATGCCTCCTCCAACTGCTGCCCCCGCTATCGCGCCCGTCGACAAGCCTGAGGAGCCCGAGGGAGGTGGTGTGGACGATGGGGTCGATGTAGGCGTAGGCGTGGATGTGGCAGATGGTGATTCACCAATGGCGCCGGCGTCGCAGAAGTCGATACTGTAGTATACGAAGGTCGAGTTGTAGCAGTCGATCGGTTGGATCTCTTCTTGGAAGCCGGAGCATATGTCGACGGTCGTATCGTTCATGTAAATGGTGACTGCGCGCATTGTTAGTATGGCCTTCCAAGGCTATCGCGTTGAGATCTCGTGAGGTAACATGCCTGTGCATCCTGGGTCCAGGCCAACCACCTGGAAGCTACCGTAAGGCCCATTGCGCCTAAGATCTGTACAGGTGCCATTAGGATAGCCGTTTGGACCCTCCAAACCTCGCAATGATTCTTGGCAGTTATCGTCCTCAAAGAGCGCTATCTGACTCGTCGCGAAAACGCGCACTGCGAGTGCGGTAAGGAGGAGTAAGAGAAGGTTATGCATCATCGCGTCGGCGCGCGGTACGTTAGCCGCAAATTGGCTTTGGCGGGGCGGCTAAGCAGACAACCAGAATACGAGGGCGCCGGTTCATCTCATAGCTGTTATAACTACAGCTGGTGTACGGAGCTGACGACCACTAACATGCAAGGCGACCTGAAGTTAGTTGCCCAGCTCTTGGGGGTCGTATCCATCATAGCTTCACAGGCCGGACCACTCCTTTCCTGACCTGGCATGCAGGATGCGGCATGGGTAACGTAGGCAGCGAATCGAGGCGAGGCTCCAGATTGCATGAAAAGCCACGCTGTGTTCCTGCGGGCCCACAGTGCGGCTGAGGCATTGATATCTTTTTCGGGGCTATTAGCTGTGCTGCTGTATCACAGTGGATGCTATCTGGTTGTGTGCGATGATCGTCTTCTGAGATGTTGCTGCTGTCGCGACAGCCTGCGCGCGTGCAATGAGCCCACACGTAAGACGGCCCCTGTCGTTGTGGATTAATGACCGCTTCAAGTATACAACGAAGGATTGACTGTTCCCGCAGATGGCTTACTGATGGTCTGTAAAGGAGCGCCAAGTTGGCTTGGGAAGAATGCGGGTACCCGTTCCGCGGCGAAAATTTGGGGGCCACGGAAAGAGCCGTGGGGCCAGGATGACTGTGACATCCATCCGATCCTCCATGTCGCACTGCAGGAGAGCTACGCACAACACCATCTTCAATACTGAGGTTCTACCATGTCTTCGGGGACGCAGCCAAGGATCCTTCTTTTCGGTGCCGGGAGCGTCGGAACAGTATATCTGTACCTGCTCAGCAAGGTAGCTGCGACCACCGCCGTCTGCCGCTCGAATTATGAGGTCGTAAAGAGAGATGGCTTCACCATCAATTCATCTATATTTGGTCAAAACCTCCATTTCAGACCCGATGTAGTCCGAGACTGTGGAGAAGCAGCGTCTCAATCATCAGATCCATTTGACTACATCATCGTCTGTAGCAAGGCTATCCCGGATACGGTGCCGAAGCTCATCGCTCCTGCTGTCACACCTGGACACACGGCTATCGTACTCATCCAAAATGGCGTCGGTATCGAGGAAGAATACTTCAAGGCATACCCAAACAACCCGATCATCAGCGCTGTTGTTTACATGCCCGCGACACAACGGCCAGCCGGCGTCATCAAACACGGTGAAGTCGAGAAACTTCAAGTCGGAGCCTATCCCTCTTCTGCACAAAGTAAATGTGCTAAAGCTTTCACGGAACTTGTCACAGCAGCCGGTGCTACAGCGGAATTCTACGAGGACGTTCAGCACAAGCGATGGATGAAACTACTCGTCAATGCATCCTGGAACCCCATGTGTGCTCTCGCTCTGAGCAAAGATACAGATATTTTGACTGCTTCGAAAGAGGCCGACGGTGTTGTACTAGCCGTGATGCTTGAGATTCGCGATATCGCAGCTGCCTATGGATACGAAATCACTCGGGAACAGGTGGACAATCAGCTTAGCCGGGCGCAAGCCAGGATTCCGACGGACGCTGGTATCGAACCTAGTATGCTTCAGGATGTTCAATCGAACCGGAGAATAGAAGTAGAGGCTATCGTGGGCAACCCCGTTCGCATGGGTAAGGAGAAGGGTGTGGCGTGCGTACGTTTGGAGATGCTATACATCCTCGCAAAAGCTTTAGATCTTCAGATTGGACGGAGGCCTTGAAGTCGGAACCGACACTGCGATATGGATCTGTAGGTAAAGTCTCGTCAACTACTCACCTTCCGGCTTTGACTGGATATTACTTCTATGGTCTTTCCCATCGACTTGAGCGAACGCCATGCTTCATAGACACCTTGATCCGGGGGTCTCTCCTTCTAATGGGACGATATCCTAGTCAAACACATCATTTGTAGCTGATGATAGCGTTCTGGCGAATAGCGCGTCTTGTCGCTGTCCCTTTCACTTCTCGTCCACCGCCGGTATCGCGCCAAGTCTTCCGTTTGCTCAGCGCTCCGCACCGCAATTCGCGACTCACCACCGCTTTTTCAGAATAACTCGTCGTCATTTCCACGGTGACCAACAGTAGGCACGGACCCAGCCACAATAGCAGTCAAAATATCTTTCGCCCACACACAAAGCGATACAAAGCCTCAAAACACCCGTCCTGCTTCATTGCTCTCAGTTTCCAAACCAAACACTCCAATTCTTTTCCATCGCAGCTACCAACACAAGCTCTTCTATTTGACGATACCCAAAACCTCATCATACCCTACTTTGCGAGCTCACCCGCCGCACGCTATACCGACAAGATGCGCACTGTCACCATCGCCCTTCTTTGCTTTCTCTTGCTAGTAGCCCTCGACATCGGCCGCGTCGTCGCATCATCTGAGTTCTTTCCGCTTATTGTTCGCCGCCTCCAAATCGCCGTCTCGTACCTATACTGGGAGATTTGCTGGGAGGTCTACTATCAGTTCACCCACAACTTCGAAGGAGTTCCCCTCTACCTCCGCTTCATCTCACTTCTCATCTGCGTCTACCTTACCTTCGCCCTATACGTACATATCAAGTATACCTACTGGATAGGCCCTCATCCCGAGGCCGACCAAGATCACCCCCACGAACCTGCCGAAAAGGGACAATCGCAAGAGACGAAGCTCCCTGTCACTCCCACCGTCCCTCACATCACACCGCCGCCCGTCACACTACCGCCTACAGAGCCAGCGCCCTCTTCATACCCTCCGCCGTTCGAGTTCCCCTTCACCAACTTCCGCGGCACCGGCGAGTCGTTCGCACACTCCGATCGACGCGACCCGACACACTATTCCGTATCGCAGCTATCGACTTCATGGGCAAACACCCGCCGCAAAGAGCGCGATCACTGGTGGTCTGCACCTAGGCAACCATCACCAGCCTACAGGTCTACCGAGCACGAGAAGGTCGCCGCGGCACCTACCATACCGAAGCCAGAAGTGGCTCAAATCACTACGAAGTCGACAGCGACTACCACGAAGGACCACGTAGTCATCGCGCCTGCCCATAAGGTTGTCGAGCTACCTCCGACATACATCCCTACTCCTACACAAACCCCATCTACCCTCCCATCAGCTCCCTCGATCGACCCTCGGTTAGGGGGTTTGCGGGATGTGGAGAATAAGAAGCATCTGATCGTTGCTGAGATGAAGTCCTTCCTAAGTACCATCGGTACTGACGCCGGGTGTGAGGCACCAGCGGCTCAAATCTTGGCTTTGATGGGCGCAGCGAAAATGCACCTGATGCCATTCTTCCCAAGAGGGCTTTATGGCCTTCACCCAGGTTTCCTCATCTGGAAAGACGCAATTGTCGAGTTCTGGTGCTGATTTCGGCCATATGGGTGGGAGATTCGAGAGGAAAAAGATGGGAGGTTGCGAACATTCCTTCAGCAGTACAGAGATACTGCCATCTGGTTGGGGTTGGAACACTATCTTGATGACCTCACAGTTATCCCCAAGCCAGCCCAGCCTCCCGCGTCAAGTACGCAAGACCCTTCAGCACCTAAGATGGGGACGCTGTCCGCCATCCCCACCACCACTAAGCACCTCCCCGCTCCCGCCATCACGATCGCTCCGCAGCCGCAACAGGCACCGAGTACCTCCGCGCCTATCCAACAGGCACCTCCCCAGCAGCCGATAGTGGCCCAAGGTGCAACAGCCCTCATTGACTTTAGCAATGAGGATTGGTTTGGCCTGCCGGAGAAACAGCTTGTCCGTCTCATGTGGGATCGATTCAGATGGCCCAACGAGGCAGCCGCCAGTACGACCATAGGGTCATTCAATATACCAGAGCTTCTTTCGTTACCCACGAAGCATCCAGAGTTCATCATGGCCTCGTATGTGAAGACGGAGCTTGAGAAAATGGCGCCAATCTTCAAACGCGCTTCAGTAGTTCTCCGACTCCAAGGTCGTGGATGCCCGTTGTTCCGTGAGCACGGACTCGAGATGGCACCGTTAATGGGCAACATGACGGCTTGCCTCTCTCGCGCTGCCGAGATGACCAATCAGTGCCAAGAGGTTGCAGATTGGGATGCTCGGGACGAATGGTACCAAGCCTGTCAGTATTTTCACCGGAACGTCTTCGGACGAAAGGGGGTCTGGGATTGGCTGTGTCACCAGTACGACTCCAAGAATAAGAAAGATGAAGACAAGCATTACAAGACTCGTCCTCTCAGGGAGTTGTGGGAGAAGATGGCGCCGACATGGCTTCCAGACATCGCAAAGCCTTGAGTCCGACGTCCTTGTATACGTCTCACACCATTATCAGCTGTCATACCGACAGCCTCACAGTCTTCAAATGCCTCCTCGGTACTTCACGCCGTTTCAAACTTCACCCACAACATGGGTTGTATTCCTCAACACCTCTCTTGTCTTTTCAGTTATACATAGAACACATCAATGTCACCATATCAAGACTAATTATTACAACTGAAATGTGTATTAATGCTCACTCCCTATCTAAAACAATCGAAAGAAGATGTTGTACATGTGTCTAAGAAACCAAGGCACGACCATCGTTGAGGATATACATTATTCGCGCCATGCCGAATGAGAAGCGACGAAAGGCGCTTATGCGGAGGAGTTGGAGGGGGCCTCAGCAGTGGGGTTGACGTCGGAGCAGATGAGGGCCTGGCCGAGGATGGGGATGAGGCAGCACTTGGCCTGCTGGCCGGACTCAGCGCATCCGTCGATGAACTGGTTGATGCTGGTGGGGGTGGTGGTAGCTGAGAGAATGTTAGTGATCATGTCTTTGATTGGAAAGAGGATGGGAAGGACGTACGAGGAGCGCAGTCCAAGTTGGCGAGGTTCAGGACATCGGTAGCGCAGCAGACGGGGTTGCCGGAAGAGCAGAGGCCAACCTGGCGCTCGTCAAGGGGAGCAGCGAAGGCGGCGGTGGCGGCGAAAGCAACAATGGCGGTGATGGTGAACTGCATTTTGAAGGTTGGTTGGGTTGGTTGGTTCTTGTGAAAGAAGGAAGTGTTGTTTGGAAGTGGTGTTGTAGAGTTGTTGATGTGAGTTGAATGTGTTGGATGATGTTCAATTGTCGACGCATCGTTGCCCTCTTTATACCTTCTCAGTCCTCATCTTGTTCAAGGTTCATTCCAAGTACACGCTTCATTACATTGCCATCGTCATCAAACACCGGCATACCCAGGCTACGATCGTCATCGACGCCAGGGGAATTAGCTGACAGCCGGGAGCGCACGTCCATAACGGTCAAAATAACGGTGACAGGTCCACCTGGCGTCCCCAACTTCTTCATGGCGAGTCTGCACCCGGCCAAGAATGACGTCGATCTCAGCTGGTTTGGCTCTGTGGTACCTGGCTGATCATGCTGACTGGTTGGTACCGAGGGTGGAGTATCCGTTAGGGCTGTTGATCTCGAAACCTGCACGGCTAGAGTTGCTGTCGCATGAAGAATGGATACTGTGGAACGTAGATCGATATCGGAGGTATAGCCATTCAGGGCAGGGATCAGATGTCGAACGCGAACATACTTACACATTGGGCATCTTTTCGCTGCCCCTGGCGCGTACATTTGCTGCAGGGTGTCCTGGCTGTATGCACGTTATCCACGTCAAAGCCTCTCATAGGGTTTTGTGGCTGCCCCAGACTATGCCATAAGGTGGACGGACACCCTCCACGAGTTGAGGCTTCAGCGCCAGTGACGTACCCTAGGCTGGGGTACCGGCTAGCGGAGCGCTCGTTCACAGGCGCTGCATAAGGCTCATCTCCGAGCCTCAAGTTCACCAAGCCAAACGCTTGTGGGAGTGGTCTGAGTGCGCGTAGACCGCCTGAACGGCACCTAGCATGAAAGTGTATTCATGCGAATGTAAGAATGTGTACACGATTGTCGTCTTGCTTTGACCGATCGACTTGGTGGAGGCGATGCTTCATCGTCACCCACACCACGCGTTCATTCCAACCTTGAAAATCTTTCTTTAGCAACCGGCAGATTTACCAGAGCTGACCCATGACAAGGTGTGGCAAACAGCTGTCAAAGAACTCAAGCGCCTCAATACGCCATCCGATGATGCTAGAGGTAGGTGTGACGAAGTCCAGAAAAGCGATCGAAACGTGGGGCTAAGGGGTTTAGCAAGGGTATTGGCGAATGGGAATCTAGAACCAGCTTCCAAGGAAGCCCTGTAACACGGTGGAAAACCTGGTGATGGTTCGGCTAGCGTTTGATATAGCACAAGGATGGGAATCTATAGGTACTCACAGAGTTCAAACGTCGAAGGCTGTCAAATTGTGCGAATTGTCCTAAGGCTGACATTTACATCCGTAATATCCGTTAGAGTTTGGATGAGGCCATTCGCACACATCTGGTCAGCACAACGAGACCCGCATTCGGTCCTAAACGACGAAAGCAGGTGCATTTCTCAGGAGACATTGTGAAAATGTATGGAACGGAACGTTGCATGCCCAGGCGGCCGTTAAGCCCCACTTGACCGCGCCTTGCCTGATCCTGGCGTGACAGCCCGAGCAGCCGACCTCGCTTGCATCGATCTACGTCACAACAAAGACCCGGTTCCTGACAACGCAGCAAGATCTGAACAAGTCGTGCAGGACGATTTACATCATTTTGCTATCGCGCAGCCAATCGCGACAAACACTTCATTTAACTGAAGTGCATTCTTTGAGGCGAAACGCATTCTTCCACGCGATCCTGCCATCCTATTTACGCGAGGGCGGCGAGGCTGATGGCCTAGTGCGTGTGGTGGCGCAGGGTCGACGAAACTCAGGAGCGGACGTGACAGCTCAAGGCGGTAAGTACAGCACATGCAGCGCGTAGTTGAAGGGCCAGAAGCAATGCGACGCCATGGTACTGAGATGCTCGCGCATTGCGATGAACGGTGGCCATGTGCCAGATGTGCCAGGGACATTTGCGACACACCAGGAAGGGGCACGGCCATGATCCGAAGCTCTTCGGCACCCGCCAACGGTCACCGCTCTCCTCATGTTGTTCTAGAATGACCCCAGGGTCAGAATCTAATCGACCTCTGCAGTCAGACTGCTACTACAGACAACACTACATTCGACGGCGTGAATGTCAACTTTGAGTTTGATTGATCTGGCGCTTGGTCGGGTCTACAAACGCCACGATGCCGCTACGGCGCGACTAAGATCTCGAACCAACACCATAGCAAAGTGGACGACGATAGCCGATTACAGACTACAGTAGCAGCATCTGACCGCTTATTTGACAATTCTAATAACCTTTTTGGCGACTACCAGAGTACATGTAGAGATTTGTAGATGGCGTCCTTCACCGCTACTCAAACTGTGCTTGCGGGTACTGATACCTACTGCGCTTCCTGCTATAGAAACAGCCCTGTTCTCTCTCTTTGTCAAAATTGCTTGCAACAACCGCAAGTGAGGTTTCTTCAGATTCCGCTTTCGACCATATTTGCCTCTGCAAGTTCCAAATCACCATCGGTGGTTTGGGTGACTCCAAGACTCTGAATGAAGGCGTCGCAAAAACTATCGCTGAGGAGCTTGCATCCTGTCGTGATTACCTAGGTATACACCTGACCTAGAAGCCTAGGAACGATCGTCGATGAGAAGATAATCTAATGGACTTACCATGATTTATCGCTATATCACAACGAAGAATCAAGTAGGATGAGCTTAACAAAAGAGTACAGCAGTTGGTTTTGAGGTCCCGAAGCTCTCTTTTCATAGGCAGCTTCTGATCAGGATGTCGAGCATACCTAGGCACTCAAAAATAGGATACGTTTTATGCACATTGCAACAATCTCATCATTTTGATAATCCGCTTCGCATCCATACAACGACTGCGTTGACATTACGCTGTTTTTTCCCAATGGACTTGAGGCGTAGTTGAGTGTTTGAATCGATTCGGGCCGTTATGGGTCGCGCTCGCTGATAGTTCTGTGCCCCGCTTTTCTGGGATCACGTGTAGTGGGAATTAGGTCTAGCGGCGCTCGGCAGGGTTTGCCCGCCTTCTCATTTGGAGCTATACGAGCTGCGGCAGCACCAGGTACCATCAACATCGCACTCAGGCACCCCACCCATTACAGAACGCGAACATCGAGCGCTTCTCTGCCTCGAATCGGCTCACGTCATGTCGGGTCTCAACGAGCCACAGACCTTCCTCGCCAAGTACACCTTGTACAAGCGAGCCACCGAATACATTGCAGGATGGATTGCCGAAACCGCCGCGTTCATCGGCTTCGAAGTCAAAACGAAAGAACAAAAACAGACAAAGTCGAGATCTAAGTCGAAAAAGGGCGCGGGCAGGAAAGGCAACCAGAATGCGAAAGGTGGAGGTGGTGGCACAGTATACCAACTCGGAGTATCGGACTTTGTACCCATGGCAGAAGCGATAGCAAAAGCTGGAGAAGAAGCAGAGTCTGAAATTATGGTCCCTGTTGCTTTATGCAGGCACTTCAGTCGCGCCATTCAGACACGTCGGAAGGTCTCGCAATGGTACAAGGCGAAAGTCAACCCGGATACGAACAGTGACCTGCGGCACGAATACTTCATCAAGGTTCTCGAGGACACCTTCGCATCCCTCAAGCCGTTCCTCGGGTCGGGCGGACCAGAAATCGCACGCAACAATGGTTCCGCTACTAGTGTGGCTGACTTATCGTCACGCAATCGCTTCGCGGGGCTGACCGTTGATGAGCTCGTGGCACTAGCCGACGAGGAAGATATTGCCGAAGATACACTCCCTGACGTATCTAATGTCACGCTCGAGGAAGCTGAGGAAGACAAAGAGGACGACTTCTGGATTGCTGTTGCGCTTATGCTACAGGAACAACAGGACATGAGGGAGGTGGTCCGTGACAACTGGCAGAAATACAAGAACGGCAAAGTCGACTTGATTGTGGCAGCCATGACCACGGATACGGCTATTAAGCTTGCTCAAAGTGCGGAGGCGAAGTTCGACTTGCTAGTAACACGACCGAAGAAATATCCAGTTACGGAGTACCCGGTCTGGACGCTCCCCGCCGTTCTTTTTTACAACAACCACGAGGATATGCACAGGTGGTCTCTCGCGGAGATTGCAAAGCCTTCCACCAGGCTTGGCGTTACAGCGGACGCCCAGAGTGAAGCACATTTCGACTTCTGGCCGGTCTTCGCTGGCTTGAAGTTCTACCTCCACAAGCACATGACAAAAAAGAACTCGATTCCGCAAGTGATGCCAAAGGACTTCGGCGATGCCAACATTCACAATCGAACATTCAGAGCAATCGAACTTGCCCAAATCATGCGGATCGTCGCCAAAGCAGCCAAACGCCCACCACTGCTGGACATGGTCTCCAAAGGTCTATTGGACATGTTCACCGAGCACAAAATCCCAATGTGGCTTACATATGGCGTCCAGCTTCATTTCGACTCGCAAGACATCATGGGCGAGATGACCAACCGACCACATTTTGAACTTCAGGTCTACCTGAACCACCTAATGGGAGTAGAACAGGCCATTACGAACAACTGGGAGGATCCGATGATGCCAGACAATATCCAAGATGAATGTTACAAACCTTTCAGAGAAGCATACAACGACATCAGTCCCTGGGCCAACCATGACGGATTTGCCGAACAATGGCAACAGCTTGCGCAAGATCCAAAGGTCAATGGACACCCCATCTTCGGGATGATGAAGAAAAAAGCGTTCTACATATATAAGCACCATCCTTTGCTCAACGGCATGTTGAAGTACCACTTTCTCGTTCACTGGCACGCAGCTGGCCTGTCACACGAAGCAACTTCATGTTCTCTTCTTTTCATGGCTCATGTTTATATGGGGACACAGCTGAGAAGCCCTTCCGACCCAGTGTGGCCCGACATGGAGTTCATGCTCTTCAGCCAGGATCCCCGATACGTGTTGATCAAGAGACCACCCGAGTCGCCCGAGGAAGCACGGACTCTCTTCGATCTTGCTACTGGCCAGCCCACGCTCAAGCAGGTGCAATCATATACCTTTGATCGTCTGGACCTTAGCCGTGGAGATCTAGGCCGGCCTAGATATGATCCCACTAACAAGTCTCGACTGTTCAGAGATGCAACCGTGTTTGGAGAAACTGTCTACTTGCCGCGCGGTGCTAGTGGCTGTTGGATCAAGAAGATACCCGGTGGAGCCTTTAATGGGAGAATCGACGCCATTACTACGGCACTTCTCGAAGCTTCTGCTCCTGATGCAACCCGTGGCCGTCTCGCGCGCGCGATGCAAGCCTCTCAAGAGCAGCAGGGACTAAAACTGGAGCCTATTAACGGCAGAGACGGACTCACATCTGTTGCTATTCTGGAACATTTTGCTTTCTGGCTGCAGGCTGACTTGCCAGATCTTTATTTCAACGGAACGTTGATGCAGCGGCAATGCTCGGATACGTGGAAAGCCATCTACACAGCGCTCGAGAACGACCCAGCTTGGGATCCGTCTTTCTCAGAAACCGGACGATCGCCGCAACATGCAGCGAATACCATCATCACTACATCCCTAATCGAAGGGAAATATCCTCGGTTCATGGACATAGCGCGCAGAGCGATGCGCAATCATCTACGGCGACAGGAAGAAAACTATGAGTGCGCGCAAAGCGAGGTATGCTTGAAGGATTTGACGAAGTACCACAAAGGAGCCGCCAGGCTCTTTACGGATGATGGACCTTTGAATGTGGACAACTTGTACAAAGGTTGGTCGCAGGAGCACAGACAACAGAGGAAGGATAATTTTGCGGCCGCTGCCGCACAGGCCGAGGTCACAGCCGGGAATGCCGATTTGCAAGAGATGTTCCAAGCTCGGGCGATGCAAGCCATGAGTTCGATGATTACGGGTGGCGCGGCCGACCAGTGCATGGTGATGTAACGCATCATCGAAATCTCAGCGTATTTTGCATCGCGCGTAATCACCCTATGCTTCAAACCTTTAGGAGTGTCACGCTTCTCAGTATGCGAGTTGTTATGGTGACGTTACGTGAAAGACATTACCCAGCATCCTCGACGAGGCAGCACCCTGAGACTAGCCGTTTTGGGACGGCTGCCTGAAAGCCACAACATAGTAAGGAGTTGCAGCCTTGCTCACGGGCGTTTGAAATGGAATATAAAACTCACAGTAAGAAGACATGAAAATAACATTCCAGATGCATCGCGACTTCTCTTGACAAGTGTTCATATTATATTCCCATTCCCGAATAACATCACCGAAACACACTACCAACAGTCCTCCGATCCCATCAGAATGGCACCAATTTCAACCCCTCTCAACATCACCAACGTCACAGACGGTGAAACCATCCATCAGGTATGGTGCAATTCCTATGTTGACTGTCTAAAATTAACACGTACGACAGCGCTGTCTCCTAGTCACGGGTACCTATGCGCTTACCGCTGCTGAAGGGAGTTACATCCATGTTGCTACCAAAGGTGCAAACAAGGCCGACTCCTTTCCCGAGCAGACGTGGCCGATAGCAGGCGGTAACTTCAAGGCTCTCGTTATGCTCTCGCCAGGGCAGAACGTCCTGGAATTTGCCTACGTCTGCAACGACTGCCTTGAACACACCATCGAGTTAAACGTCAACTACATCCCGCTCTTGCAGTACCCGCCTCTTCACCTCGCTATCATGGTCGCCGCAGACTCGCCATGCCTCATCGACTGTCCACCCTCAAAGGCCGCTGGGATATCTTCGGCGCACTCAGACCTTGATGCAGCTATTGCCAAGCTGCGCATGGCGGCTTACATGTGGCAAGCTATGACCGCGGAAGACTTGAGGCTGCAAGGTGCTGGGCGTCGATCGTTCAGGCTGGATGAGGAGTGGACCGCGGACACGATTAGTCGCGACTTCCTCAATGCGCGCGCTGAAGAGACTCTCGACAGCGAAGGTGCCATGCGATCGACTGCCAAGGTCAACATTATTCGCTCTTCCAGGACTGTCAAGGAAATTCGCAACAAAGAGGTCGCACAACAAAACCCTACTGCACGTCGTGACAATGACTTGTTCGACTGGTTTTTGGATGCGCTCAAGGAGCAAGGAGGTCCTTTCGCTTCCAATGCCCGACCCATCGTTGCTGGGTTGATCTTGGACTCACACTACAGTATCTCGCAGAAGCTGATTCTCGGACACGCAGCTCTTGGTTGCTATAACCCTGACGGAATCTCACTGGGTATGTTCGGTAGCCACCTGACCTACTCCTGGCCGCGCTTCTTGGAAGAAGTCACAAGCTGTCTCACAGACGTCCGTGCACCTGGAGACAAAGTAGGCAATGACAACGGCCAGTGCGACACCATGTGGGAAGCATGCGCCATCGGCCAAGGCGCTTTCCTCCATGAAATCGGTCACGCATTCGGATCGCCTCATCGCTCTGGCATCATGGAGCGTGGATATGCGCAAGACTGGCCCAAAAACTTTCTCCCTATGACCGCGTACTCTGGCCACCTCAAAACAGAAGGCGTACTTGTGGACCCTCACAACACACCTAACAATGCTCGTTGGAATCTAGCTGATGCGCTCTCCTTCCGCATGCTGCCCCATTTCCGCCTGCCCATCGACCCCGCAATCAGCAACGAAGAACGACATGCTTCACCCGGGGCCCACGCTGAGCACACCGATGCTGAAAGCCCGACAAAGCTCGTCATCAGCTCAAGCAGCGGTATCGTACGTTTTACTTTCAACCGTACAGAGACATCCCAGCCCCTCGGCTGGACTCACAACGCACCGAAGCGCATTGAGTATACGGAATCCTCTCTCGAAGAGCGTTTCGATCGATCCCAAGCCCTCCATCTCAACATCCTCGCCTACAATGGAAAAGAGACCAACATCGGCAACGTTTGGAAACTCCTCGCCAGCAGATCATACATCCGTATCCCAGGCTCCGAGATCCGACTCGCCAAGCGCCTCGCCTTCCCCGATGAGTCCGATACTCGTCGGTACGAATGGGCGCAGCTCCTTCATGAGAAGGGCAAGGATGGAAACCTGCACCGCGCCGTTTCCATCGATCTAAGGGTCGGATGTTTGTGGGATGGCGGCGTGGTGAAGTATGCAGACGGTCACACAAGTCACTGGGGACCCATGCGTACATACGGCCGCAAACACCAGTTCGGCGGTCACGCTTCCGAGAAGATACGTCTTCCCGAGGGGGTGGAGATTAGTTCCGTTGAAGTCATCCCTAGGGATGGTGTGAGGCTACATCTTAGCGACGGTACCAGCGCGGGTGAGCTCAACGCGAGGCGTGACTCGGACATTGTGAGGCTGACACCCAGCCCCGATGAGATCATCGTGGGATTTTTTGGCAAGAGTCAGAGGGGAGGCTTCTGCGGCGTCGAGGAGTTCGGAATCATCACTGTGAAGAGAGATGTGGGAATTGTGGGGTTGCCGGATAGTGTGTGGGACTTGGATGAGTTGAAGAACACTAGTGGGATGGATGGTGATGAGGATGATGGAGAGGACGAAGACCGATACGACGACGAGGATGAGGACGAAGACGAAGAGATGGACTACGAAGATGACGAGTGAGCGCGTCAGTTGGGAGTCTTGAGGAGCTCACAGCGCTTCGTTATCGAGGTGAAGTGAGCATCGTGCTTGAGCGCCGCAGTGTGGTAATATTAGTGTACCTGTCCCAATTTCTCCACATCTAGACATGTAAGCGAATCGATCCACGAATCAGGCTGCCTCATCGGCAGTAAGACTAGATGATATGTACCGAGATATCCATGCGATTTACATTTAATGTGTGTCCGATCATGTACGACAATGCGGTGGTGAAAAGACACAGTGGCAACGAGACGAGGGTCTCAGCTCAAGGCCAAGTGGTCTAGTCAAGCAACAAGGCGAATCTTCCCCAGATCACATGAAAAGTCAGACACGTCCCCGGATTCTGCCAGGACAGTCCGGCGAGCGCTCGGCTGGGTCCCGGCTCCCATGTCTCAGCGCAACGGTAGCACCACACTTGGGCTCGTCCTGGAGTGCATAAGGCTGAAGAACCTGGGGTATAGTTTTATGCCACGTTCGGTACGTGACTAATAGTACGTGTTGCTTTCGACGTCGATGATGATGCTGCGATGAGAAAGCTAGTTGTCAACGCGCCTGATGTTGAAACCTCTTAGCCGCGTGAGATGGTAGACTCCATCGGATTTTTGTATGCGTCCTGGACGTATAGGCGGTATCGATAGCTTGCTATGCTGGCTGGTTGCTTCCACTGGTCGCATGAGATGTGCAGGAACTGGGCTCTCACGATGTGACAGTCGCGCGAACAGATCTGGTAATAACACTACCTAAGTAGAGCGTGATGCGCCTTCAGGCCATGCAAATAAAAGTCTGCGGCATTTGACTCAGCATGACCAAAGCAGATATCTACAACCACCGGCTGGGGAAAGGGGTGAGCTGAATGCGGTGACATGCGACGGAGTCATGATAGGCCTGATGAGGTTTCCCGATGGATGAAGTCTGACACGGCCAGCGCCAAGGCCGTGACCCGATGAAGGGCCGGCCCTCTCGCTATTCCCGAAACGCGTCCGCCGCCACAAAGTACCCCAAAAAAGATACTGCTAAGCTGCAGAATTTTTCTGCTGGGAACATACGGAACGGCAAAGCTACACATTCCACACGGTAATCCCGCGATAAGCATTGCCGCTTGGCCTGTCGCGCTCAAGGCGACGCGAACTGGCGGCGCCGACCCGCTCGTAGCCGACGTGATCCTGGCTCGAAAATTTCGATCATGCTACTGTCACGGTTCAACTTCTGCATCTTGCGCGGCAAAACGACTCTGTTGCCCGCCAAGTGGACCGACGATGAAAATTTGGACGGTCGACTGGCTTTCCAGAGCGTGGAGTACGCCGACGGCTAACATGATGGCTCATGGAGTCTTGCGCTATGACTCCACTTTCTGGAGTGGTGGGTAACCGTGGTTTGATTGAAATATCGTTTTCGTCCCTGGCTCTTGCGCACTTGACATCTATCGTATACATCACAGCTTCGTCGTTGTTGTTCTTACTTTGAACCTCAAGCCCCACCCCAGGGTCCTTCGCCAATACCACCACCAATATGGCATCCGCCTCTGAGGAAATCACGCCCAAGATGGACCAGCGGTCGGACAAGTCGGTTCCGCACTCTTCGAGCGACGTCGAGAAGCAGGCCGCTCCCCCCAAGGATGAGCTTCAGCGCAAGCTTTCATCCCGACACTTGCAGTTCGTCGCCATCGGCGGTACTGTAGGAACCGGAGTCTTCATTGCTAGCGGAGGTTCCATCGCTACTGCCGGTCCTGCTGGCGCGCTCCTGGCTTACGTTTTCGTCGGTACTCTGGTCTACTCCGTCATGCTCAGTTTGGCTGAGATGGCTACCTACCTGCCTATTTCCGGTGCATTCACACAATACGCTGCCCGCTTCGTCGACCCCTCGCTAGGATTTTCCATGGGCTGGATTTACTGGTTTTCGTGGTCCATCACATACGCACTCGAACTCACCGCCGCTGGACTTATCATCCAATGGTGGGACTCGGATCTCAGCATCGGCATCTTCATCACCATTTTCTGGGTACCGATCACCGCCGTCAACTTCTTGCCCGTTGACATTTTCGGTGAATTCGAATTCTGGTTTGCTCTCATCAAGGTCGTTGCCCTTGTCGGTTTCTGGATCTACGCCATCTGCATGAACGCTGGTGTCGGCGCACAAGGCTACATTGGCTTCCAGTACTGGAACTCTCCCGGTGCTTTCGCTCCATACCTCGCCGAGGGCCCTGTTGCCAAGTTCGTCGGTTTCTGGGCTGTCCTCATCCAGGCTGGTTTCGCATACCAGGGTACTGAGCTCTGCGCTATTGGTGCTGGAGAGTCCGCGAACCCCCGTGTCACCATGCCTTCGGCTATCCGAAAGACCTTCTGGAGCATTTTCACCCTTTTCGTCTTCACCATCTTCTTCGTTGGCATTCTGGTCCCCTACGACAACGAGGCTCTTCAAATTGGCGACACCAACGCCGGCTCATCTCCTATGGTTATTGCTTTCCAGCTCGCCGGAGTCTCCGCTCTTCCCGATATCTTCAACGCCATCTTGCTCACCGTCGTTCTCTCAGCCGCCAGCTCCAACGTCTACTCAGGCAGCCGTATCCTCGTCGGTCTTGCGGAGGAGAAGTGTGCCCCTGCGTTCCTCAAGGCTACCAGCAAGCGAGGTGTCCCATACTGGGCGACCTCAGTCACCGGCGCCATGGGTCTGCTTGCCTACATGAATCTTAGCGCCAACGGTGGAGAAGCTTTCAACTGGCTCCTCAACATCGTCTCCGTCGCAGGTTTCATCGCCTGGACTTGTGTCTTGATCTGCCACATCAGCTTCATGCGCGCGCTCAAGGCTCAGAACATCGACCGTGACACCCTCCCATTCAAGTCATGGGGTGGCCGCCCACTCGCCATCTACGGTGTCACTTTCTGCGCCATCATCACCATCACCCAAGGTTTCACCGCATTCGTCCCATGGAGCGTCGAGGACTTCTTCATCGCATACATCAGTTTGATCCTCTTCGCCGTACTTTACATTGGACACAAGCTCGTTACCAGGAGCAAGTTCATCAACCCCGCCGAAGCCGATCTCCTGAGTGGCAAGTTCGAGGACGAAGTTAGCGAGACCTGGGAAGAATCTTCCGCCAGTGGCTGGAAGAAGATGATCAACAAGTTCTTGTAAACATTGCTTCATGGCAACAAAAAGTGTTTTGGATTCTATTCGATCCGATAGCATAGCGTAGCGTTTGGGGCATAGCATTTGCACGGCGTTTTTTATTTCTAGCGTTTAGGCCGCGGCAGATACCAGTGTTAATGTTTACTCTTCATACTTCAAATCTCTTTGACCTGCACATGGTGAACTTGTTTAGGCTTATTACATTTGCTGATCTCTCAGCTCTCTGTGGCTGTGCACTGATCATCTCAGCCATATCCAGTCCATCCTTTGATCAACACCGCCACACTGTGGCTATGCTTGTTTACTGAGATGATCATCCCAACGACGGAGTAAATTACTCAGTGAACAACAAACACTGAGTTCACCGATCCGGGTCAACACCATCGTCACCAGTCCTCGTAGTCCAGTGCATGGACTTGTCGTGTCAGATGTGGAAACTTGATCGCTGTGGCACACATGCGGGGTGACGTAGCGGGCGCCTTAAGCTTAGCCTGCAAGCAGAAGATTGTGGTGTTGTGAACTCTATATTGATTTCCGAATGCCGTGGTATCGAACTCCAATATCATACAATAACATGCAAACATGACTCCATCGCTCAGTAAAGTGTCGTGACCACATCAAACTCCGCCTCTCTCCTCCAAATACAATGATAGCCACCTTGCTCTCAACCCGTATAACTCCATCTCGCTCGCGTCGTTCTAACCCCAGAGTCTCACAACCTCCACAACGCCCAGACCCAGTGCAGTGATCTGCAGAGCGCGACTTGGTGAAAGCATGTCGGACGCCGCGCTTTCGGTGTTGTTTTTTCCACCAGTGCCCTTTCCACCTTTGCCTCCTCCTTTGCCGCCGCTGCTGGCTCGTTCTTCGAGTTGAACTTCTGGCATAACTAGGGTGTCGCGTGCGGCAAGCGCTTCGCGGAATTGGGCGCGAGATCCGATGAATGCTGGTTCAGCTACCGCGTCTGGGTTGGCGACGGGTGCTGGGCTGGCGAGCGCCATGGTCGCGAGGAGGAGAGTAGTTGCCGCTGTGAACCTCATTGTGATGGTCTTTGGGGCTTTGGGGTAGATTTGCAAGCTTGTGTTTGGAGATGGAGAGTTGCAAAGGGGGTGATGAACTCGAGGTAGGATTTTATAGACTGATGAGTATATTAAGGGTGACTGGCTGATGTATGAGTCACCGCAATGGGTCTTTGGTGTAACCTTGAGGCAGATTTGATGAGTGGTATGCACATGGAAAGGAGGCGCGACACATCGCATTTATGTATTCAGGCCATAAGCGGTGTGCTTCTTGAATTACGCCGTGGACGCCTTAACGCTGTACACAGCCTGCGCGCGCAGAGTAAGATCGCCAACACAGCCTGCTTTCAGCTTGACGCGATTCTGGTAATGGTCTGTGACGTCGTGAGGGTGTTGGACCAATTACATCGTTGTTTAGCCAGTCATGGAAAAGCGCGAGATTGGGCTGACGGCTTGGCTTTCTTGGCGGTCAGCTGAACAAGGCGTTCCGTCCCGCTCTTGGTCGGCTGCCGCGAGAGCTTGACAGTCTCCAAGGACTTCCGTCATTCCTGTTTCTGTTCCAGGTCAGGAACGTAGCCAGCGATATGAGCGTAGTACTGTAACGTAAGCTTCGCTGGACTATTTGTGCCCAATGAAGGTCATGTCACCGTTTGACTATCCCTAGTATCTGACAGTATACATCGGCATTGCAGCATTTGGAGACAGGAGGCGAGACGAGAAGCGGTACGGAGGTTTGTAAAAGTTGTCTAGATTGTACATGGATGACTAGCAGGAGACTTGTGTATGCGATCCGTATGAACCTGACAGATCATGTTTGCTTTCCGATGTGAACTGATCCTT